ATCACCATCATGGATAATGAACCCTGAAGAGTGGACAGCAGCTTCTCTTTTTGTCTGTGATTTGTCACCATTCTGACCCCCTTTCAGTACAAGGGACCCAGAAGAAGCTGTAGCTGAGCTACTGGACTCTTCGTGACCTTCAGGCTTGTCTTGTTACCATGTGGCTCTTCGTGATTCTTCAAGCAGAATCCTCGGCGCAGGGCAGTATGAAGCTCCCCATGAGAGGAATCTGGATAGGCTGTTGGGCAGGGAAGCTCCAGAGGACAGTAAATAAACAGGACTGGGAGGTTAGGAGGGCAGAGAATAAATATCTTCAAATCATAGGTGGATAGCTGAGAATCTCCCCCTGAACTCTCACCAGAAAGTCTGCTTACTGACTGTCTCCGGTGAGCTGGTGGCTACCCCTCGAGGGTCTGACCTTGGCTCTTTCTTCAGAGGACTGTGAAGCTGCCACCCTCTGTGGACACTCCTGGTAGGAGGTGACGATAAGGTTTCTGAACCTTGATGTTAGCCCTTTCTGCTTCTGCACTTCCCACTCTTATGTCTGAGAATCTTCTCTGCTGTCAGACTCAGAAATGGGAAGCAGACTTCCAACTCAGAGCCAATCTCTGGCTCCAAATATGCCGTAGTCCAGTGGCAAATAGATACCTGTGACAGGTTCATTAATGTAGCTGCTGACTTAGTCAATAATATTTCATTAAGGAAGTTAGGAGTATGGACATCAGAGGGGTCCCCAGAAGAGCAACTTTAAGTAATCCTGAATTGTCACTGTATTAATTTCTAATTATGAAAACAAAGTACTATGACCAAGAATGCTTTGAAACTTTGGAATAAAAGATGTTTGTATGAACATTCTTAAAGCCTTGCAAATGTACATTTTATGTTAAAGAATACAAATTAAATTTAACCCAAGAAAAATTGGAAGCTGCTATAGATATTTTTTCTTTTTCAGATTCTAGAAGTAAGGGCTGATTTTTTTTTTTTTTTAAGATGTACAGTGTAGTTGTAGCTAATTGGTACAGGAACCAGCCCTTATTTCAGGAAACTGTCTTCAAGATCTATTAGAAACCTTGAGGCCCAGATGGAAATGCCCTTTTTCAGGGTCGGCATGATAGCTCAGTGGACTAAGCACCTGCTTTGGCAAGTTCAGGGACCAGGGTTCGATCCCCAGTCTCACATGCTGTGCTGGCCTCTGCCCCCGGGGCTCACTGAGCCAGTGACCGAGTCTGGGTGTAGTGATACATGCCTGTAATCCCAAAGCTGGGAAGGCTGAAAACAGGAGGGTCACTATGAGTCTGAGGTGTATACCGAAACCCTGTACCAAATACATAAATTTTTTAAAAAGCCCATTTTCAGCATACAAAATGTAATTTTTGTCTGTTTTTAAAAATGAATTCTGCATTCATCATAATTTCATTATTGTCATTTATAATGCATTATTAAAATAAATTCAAGGGCCAGCCAAATAGCTCAGCAGATTAAAATGCCTGCAAGCAGGTGCAGGGGCCAGGGATTCAATTCCCAGGCCTGCCATGCTGGCCCTGCCCCTGGGGCATGCTGAGATGGCAAGTCTGATCTAGTAGTGAGACCCTGAACACCCTATATACCCTTCCCTAAAACACAAAATAAATAAATAAGAAAAAATGAATTCTATCATTCATGTTACTGTTCTCTTTTTTCCCCATAATTTCAAATCAAAGGTGTTTAATTCCCACATAAAAATACTGGACAGATAATGGTGACTAACATCATTCATGTGACTGCCTTTCACAGAGGACAAAACGTCTCCATGTGTTTTCTTGACTCCATCCCCATCCGACATCAGAGGACACTGATCATCCATGCTGTCCAAGGTCACAAGGCTACTGATAGGGGTGTGGCTTGGGCTAGAGCTCATCTTCCTACTAAGGTGAATTATTTTCAATTTTTGAAGTAGGATTTGCCATAATTATAGACGTATTTATATATACACCAAGTAAGTGAAGTCTCCAAAATCCAAACAAAGCAGTGAGAACCCACTTTGTGGGGTGGGTGGAAATGGGCTCAGACCTCTCCAGACAGCTGTTTGTAAGCTCAGGCCAACAGTTGCCTTGGGCTCCTTGCCAGGTGGACAGTAGTGGCACATAACCTAGAAAGGAAAGGGCCTACATTAGCTCTTTGATCAGGAACATCAGATTTAGAACATACTCCTGGGTTAGGCAGACTCAGCCTTCACCCTGGCTGTGACAGCCTTGGGGATGTACTGTCAACTAATTCAGTTTGCCTGGCCCATATCTTAGTTTATTTATAAAATATAGGTAGAGGTGGTGGTGTACGCCTATAACTCCAGCTCTGGGGTGGGTGAAGACAAGAGGATCACTATGAGTCAAAGCTGTGTAGTAAGACTCTGTACCAAATACATGAATGAA